TTTTCGTCAAAGGTCAACATGACTAAAAAATATTTTTACAATAGCTCCAAAACTATGTGTGTTATAAAGTCAAAACGTTTACAGTTTACAAATATATCATTGATTAATAGATAGAATGTATCGTTTAATAACAAATATTTAAAAGAAATTATTTCTAAAGAAAATTTATATCAGAAAATGTGCATATTTAAAGAAAAATGCACCTGCTTAATTATGTCTTTTTTGTGAAAACCATCATTGCAGAAATAATATATGTTAATCATTGAAGGGCAAATTGGATGTGAATGGTCTCTGAAAGGCTGTTATTGAAAGCATGACATCTATAAAGAAAAGACCTCTATAGAATACACCATTTACAATGTACTTTCACTTTCAAGTCTTAACATTTGGACAAAATAAACAGGGAAAACAAATTTCCAGAGGCTATCCATGTCAAACTTGCCCTTCATTGATAAACATTTTTTGTTTCTGCAATAATGGTTTTCACTAAGAGCGCGGAATTAATTAGGTGTATTTTTTGAAAATATATGCATTTTTAAGAAGAATTTTTCTCAATTAATATTTTTTCCAAGCATTTTTCTATCAAGTGATACTTTCTATCTATTAATCAATGATATACATATAAACTGTAAAAGTTTTAACTTTATACCCCACATAGTTTTGGGGCTATTGTAAAAATAAATTTTTGGACATGTTGACCTTTGACTTAAATATTATTTGTTGAAGGTAATTTATCCCAATATCTGACCTCTGGTCACTTCAATACTATTGGTTCCTTCTTCACCCTAACCAAATACATCTTTTCATAAACAAGTAAGTAGCAGCTGCATTCCCATAATTTATTTCGTGGGACCGTCCGGTTTAAAAGATTAATTCCCATTGATCAGCCTCTTTAATTAATTTTATCTGTAGAGCTCGCGTTCGTTATCTTTTGTCAGAGTAAAAGTGCAAAATCATAATATCCGTTTCATTCTTATATTTACTGCATTTTTAGTTATGATAGCTCTGTTCTAGGTCCTCTTTTTTCCAATATTATGTGAACTATGTTGCTGGTGTTCTCAGACTCACATGATTTTGAACACTAATTAAACAAAATGCATGTTGTTAGGCACACATTACAGACAGTCAAAACTGAAAAACCAAAATCTAAATTAGGAAATTTCAGATCAATTCTTGAGAGTGCCACACTTGAAAAATAACTTGAAATTCATGTTGATAATTCACTCAACTTTAATACACATATCGATGCTGTTTGTAAATCTGTATCGGGAAAGATATCTGAAATACGCAGTATTAATTTATCTCAAGAAATTTATTCTATAATGCTTATATAATGCCATCAGTTGAATACAGTTTCACAGTTTGAGGTAATGCATCAATATCTAGCCTCGAGAAGATTTAAAAATTACAGAAAAGAGCAGCGCGCTGTGTCTTAGATGCTGTCTATAAAAAGCCATCAAAACACTTATTTGAAGAAAAAAATTGATTGTTTGTCAGTACATTAACAATTGAATGTAAATAAGTTAGTATTACCTGTCTGACATGTTCAATTTCCAATCATCCCATTCGTACCATCTAAGATCTAATTTTGATTTTCAATTGATTTATGTGTTCCAAAGCACAAAACTAAAATGTCTCAAAATTCTTTTCAATATTGGCCTGCAGTATTGTGGAACGATTTATCTTTAAATGTAAAAATGTCTCCATCATAGACCAACGTTCAGCTTAAATTTTTGTATAAATGTATATTTGTGGACTGTATTATTAATTTAATAATGCATACGTTATTATTGTATGCTGTGCCATATATTACATTGCTGAATTTATTTATTTACCTTTGTTTATTATTTCATTTCTTTTAAAGAATGCCTCAAGGAAGAATAGTGTTCGCACTGATAGAGTTATTCCCTTAAAATAAGGTATTTATTATAAATAATATTAGTCAACGTTGAACACAAAGCTGTGTATCATTTGTATCACAAGGAAGTGTTTTGTGGATCGTGAACTTCCATGATATCTATATTGATTTACTTACAGGGAAATATATACAGATTACGAACAGTGTTCAAGCCCAAAGTTTCCTCAAACAATACAATTTAGTAGCTGAGCAAACATTGATCTTTCAAACATCTAACTAATGATCAGGTGCTATGGATGAGTGATCATCTAACTAATGATCAGGTGATATGGATGAGTGATCATCTAACTAATGATCAGGTGATATGGATGAGTGATCATCTAACTAATGATCAGGTGATATGGATGAGTGATCATCTAACTAATGATCAGGTGATATGGATGAGTGATCATCTAACTAATGATCAGGTGATATGGATGAGTGATCATCTAACTAATGATCAGGTGATATGGATGAGTGAACAATCCCTGCAGACTGTCACACACTCCGTTTGCTTCTTCTTATTGATAAAAAGCGTTAAAAGTTATCAACAATTTAATGTGAAAATTATATCCTTACAATTTCTCTGTAGAACAACAGTCAGTATTTTACTAACCAGGTAATAATAAATTCTATTTGAAGACAAGAGCATTGTATCCACTCAATTAAACAAATCACAACCAATGACAATGTTATCACCTGCTCTATCAACTCGGACCAGTACATACAGATTGGATAATCTATTTAATTGTTTTTCACTTCTGAATTATTTAAAGAAGGAAAGGAAAATGTTTTCCTAATTAACACATGAAGGGATGAGTTATTAGTTATCATTAATATGAAAGAAGTATAGGCGATTTAACGAAATTCTAAGTCACGGATCAAAAGAGTTATCAATGTTTAGAATTCTGTGTTACACCAAGTGTTGAGTTTGAAAATGATTTGTTTATTTCACTTGTATTTAGAACATTATTTATTTACACAAAATAAATGGATTTCATATATCAAAGAAAACAAATGAATCAAGCCTCCTCTAGAATATTGTCTTTCATAACTATAAGATTTAAATCAGACCATATAGCAAGAAACAAATGACATTGATAATAAATTTGAATATGCTAATTTAGCAAATAGATGGCTATTTAATTAAGGAGATTAACAATTTGTGCCATACAATGCCATTTTTTGAAAGGCACAATAAAATATACATATGATTTATACTGAAATAAACTAAAGAGAACATAAAATAAGACTCAGAAGTGTATCATTTTTTTTTACTGCGGATGACTAAACGGTAAATTAAGCTAGCATATTGATTTCTATTGAATACTTTCTCTCTCGTATTGGAAAGTGGACCTTTAATTAAGAGTTTGTAAATGTCCCTTTCATCAGCATCAGAGAACTGCTGATAAAGTTCATATAAAGTCATATCATTCCCTAAAATAATAGAGACATAAAGGGAATAATGTTCCCCTTTTTCACCTTTTTTCACAAAAGGACTTACTACTTTAGACCAAAGTTAATTCTTCATATAACTTTAAAATTAAAATTATATCGAAAATTGTTTTAAACCTTTTAAAAGGAATGTGGTAAGATAGTTTTACACAAACAATTTCTCAGAGAATTATTAATTTTGAAAATTTTACAATCATCTGAAGTTTTTGGTCTTAGTCGTAAGTTCTTTTGTAAAACGGGCCCCTATCACTAACATTGCTCTTGCACGGCATTGAACGTTTGTGACGTCAGAATAAAACACATATCGCACAGTGTCACCTTCTGACACTCTACTGTGTTATGGTGTTTTGGAATAATAAAAAAAATACTGCATCGATATAAATATACGATGACATAAATTCTAAATTCTATATATTCTTTTTCAAATGATATTCCGTAGCAATAAAAGATAAAGATCTTTAGAAAATGTTATTTTTTTTACTTTAAGCTCAAAACATACCCTCGATATATCAGTTAGACCTGTCAGATCTTTGAATCTAATAGCATCATTGCATTTCATGCCACACGTAAAATTCAAGCTATTTAAATATATTTGTGGTATAATTAGATTTGTGGAAAGAAATATTCAGTACTTCAACTATTAAGCTTATTTTCTCCATGATATAAAAACCACTAACATCCATTTAAGCGATTTTGTATAGTAGATTAATGGATGATAAATGTTAATCTATTCAAAATACCGCATGGATGGAAAAAGATAGAGGTATGTTTTCAGAAAAGCATAATAGTAGACGTACTTTACTATACCTAATATTTTTTTTTATAGAAATCTTAAAATCTTTAGAAATGATAAATGAAATTGAATGACGGACACCACAGTAAAGAGTATTGCCCATGTATCGGATTAAGGACGTTCCACTGTAATGGTCTTAACAATAAAGCCATCATCATCTTAATTCTGTGTCCAGGCATCTTCATTTATCAGTTTTGTAAATAAAAACAAAATACTAGTATTTCTAAGTTCAAATTTATTACAACACATATAAAGTAAATCTTTTACTAATAACATTCAGTAGAAAAAAAACACATTAATTTATTGCTTTAAAGCATTGTTCAATCCCCCTTCTTTTACTGAACAAAATATATGTTGTGCCACCTGGTGTTAAAACATTATTTAAAGAAAGAACGCCGTAATAAAGATTATTTTAAAATCCTTTGATGGATAATCTTTCGTCTGTAAAAAAAAATTAACTCATTATTTCACAGAAATAATAACATATTTTTCTATTTAAGAAAATCTCTTCAAATCATTGGATTTTTCAACGGAAATACAAAAAAGGGGTGATTAAGGTTTAATGGTGTTTACCTAGTGACGTTTTATCATCATGGTGGTCCCCTTCACTGACGTCCCCCGCTCTACTGTGGGGTACCATGGTTTGACCCAGTACTCCTGGGACCAGGGTCCGTTGAGGAAGGCGTGGTGACAATGGTTAAACCACCAGCCTCCTCTCAAGTGAGCAGCACAGTTACCATCACTCCACCTGTCATTATCCCTGTCTGGAGTGGTGAAATACATCCCAGACAGATTTTTGTAAGAATTACCCGTGTCTAATATAGCGTCACCTGTATAAGTAAAGAATATAAAAATTCAGAAAAACAACGAATATGACCTCATTAACATACTGTTTCCTGAAATACAATATAATAACAATATAAATAGACACAACATTCATCTCACTCCATCTGTCATTATCTCTGTCTGGGGTGGAGAATGACATCCCAGACAGGTAATGGCTGCTTGTCATACTGTTACCTGAAATACAATATTATAACAATATAAATAGACACAGCAGTCATCTCCAGTCAATCTGTCATTATCTTCTCATGCTGTCTCCTGAAATACAATATCATAACAATATAAATAGACACAACAGTCATTTCCAGTCAATCTGTCATTATCTGTCTGGAATGGAGAATGTCAACCTAAGCAGATCGTAGTCAGAATAACCAGTGTCTAACATACTGTATCCTATAAAAGTAAAGAAAATATCTCACAGAGATAATGCATTCATATATATTCAATCTAATTGCCAATAATAATACTGAGGTACATTTAGGACAGCTTTGCGTGCTGTGTTACAACGCACTTTGAAAAATTACGCACTTTGAAAAAAAAATTTCAAAGTGCGTTAAATTTGGGACCAAGCTAACGCACTTTGAAAAAAAATTATTTTTAAGTGCGTTAATATCGACCATATTAATAATACAATTTTGAAAGAGGCACCATTGCTTATCATAATTAAAAATACTCTACTTACTCAATACCCAGAGGTAGATCAGAGTTACAAAGAGAAAATGTTCTTCCACTTTATAACCAGTTGTGCACCTCACCCCAAAAGAACCAGTGACCCTGGGGCCACATATTTCAAAATTTCGCAAATTTTGTTATAAAATGGCTGATTATTACCAAAGAGCAGGTTTCAAAGCATTAATTTATTTTCAGACTATGTACCCCCCCCTCCTATGCACCTTTCTTTATCATAATTATATATATACTTGCATCAGTGGCATAAAATTCACAATTTTGGAAAAGGCACGCTTGCTCATCATAACTATGTACTTCGTTAGTTTATTTAATACCAAGAAGCAGAGAAGAAGATGTTCAAAGAATAAATGCATTTTCACTATATAATCTATAGAGCCCAGCCCCAACACCAGAACCCCTGACCCTGGGGCCATAAAGTTCACAAATCTGGAAGAGGCACTCTTGCTCATCATAACTATGTACTTAGTTAAATTATTTAATACCCAGAAGCAGAGAAGAAGATTTTCAAAGAATACATGCATTTTCACTATATAATCTATAGAGCCCAGCCCTAACACCAGAACCCCTGACCCTGGGGCCATAAAATTCACAATTTTGGAAAAGGCACTCTTGCTCATCATAACTATGTGCTAAGTTAGTTTATTTAATACCCAGAAGCAGAGAAATAGATTTTCAAAGAATAAATGCATTTTCACTATATAATCTATAAAGCCCAGCCCTAACACCAGAACCCCTGACCCTGGGGCCATAAAATTCACAATTTTGGAAAAGGCACTCTTGCTCATCATAACTATGTACTTAAATAGTTTATTCAATACCTAGGAGCAGAGAAGAAGATTTTCAAAGAAATAATGCATTTTCACTATATAATCCATATAGCTTCGCCCTAGCACTAGAACCCCTGACCCTGGGGCCATGAATTTCACAATTTTGGTAGAGAACTCAATGCTCATTACATTCATGCTAACAGTTTGCCTGCTTGATGTCCAGGAGTAAAGAAGAAGATTTTTAAAGATTGCAATAATTTTAGTGGTTTTGGCCCCACCCCTCAGGCCCCAGGGGGGCGGGGACCATGAAATTCAAAATTTTTGTTCCCCTTTATTCATAGATGCTGTATACCAAATTTGGTTGAAATTGGTTTAGTGGTTTCAGAGAAGAAGAAGCAGAGAAGAAGCTGAAAATGTTCTTGTGATAACACACGACGCACGACGACGGACGAAAACAGATAGCAATAGGTCACCTGAGTTACTCAGGTGACCTAATAAAAAGGGGGCAATTTGATTGTTCAAAACTATGAAAATTCTTTCTCTCTCATACGTTTTACTGTACTTAAGAATTTTTTATCTGTTTTAATTAACTCATTTAATATTGAAAGTTTTCAACGTCATACCAGTTAGGTAAATACATAATTACATGAATGTCGAGTATAGCATAGACATCAGCATGGGCGAAAGGAGGGGATCATCTTGTCTACACAATCTATTTATTTTGATATAAAGATATACGCCGTATAAGCATTGAAAATGCAGCTTACCCTTTTTGAGTTTACTGCTCCCTTCCCCCGTTTGTTACTGACGTCTTTGTATTGGAAAGATAAAGATATTGACTGAGGGATCTTTTACCCGTCTTCTCCTCTTTTTCGACGGGAGTAAATCAATTCTTGTTTTAGGTTAGGGTTAGGATTAGTTTTTTGAAAGATAAATAACAAATAAAATCTTTCCATTACTAAAATATGATTTATTTTTTTCAAAGTGCGTTAAGTGTCTTCATGGTAAAATATATTGATGTAGACTCTTAACGCACTTTGAAAAATATTTTCAAAGTGCGTTGATTTTGTCCCAATTGTAAAGCACTTTGGAAAATTTTTTCAAAGTGCGTAATTTTTTCAAAGTGCGTTGCCACAGTACTGTAAAGAGCGATAATATTCATTTAAAAATAAAATACAAAAATACATTAAGTAATTTATTTAGCATCCTTTCTAATGTCAGGACAACCCTTGATTTGTCACGCTAGCACTTTATAGCACGATATTTTAATTTAATACTTAGCTTTAATACTTTCGACGTACGACGTAATATTTTAAAAAGATTATAACTATTCCTATTTTATGAAATTCAATCAAATATAAAATAGAAAATCGAAGAATGCATTTTTTTTTATTGATTGATTATTTGTAACCCTGCGTCGGCAATATTTCAACCTTATTTCTTCAAAAACAACCAAACAATCTTCCTATGAAAAGAAGTATATGATGATATACATGATTTTAATCCGGTTTTAAGAATTTAATGTGGTCGGATACACTTACCTAGTGTCCCCGTGGCAGGCCCTGCAAGAAAGAGTTGATATTTTCCTGTTTCGGCGGAGACAGAGAATCTATCGTACATTTCATACAGTGTTGTACCATTCCGGAGAGTGATGGATACATAAAGAGACGAGTTGTTTTCTTTTGTTAAGTGATGGATTAAGTCATTTCCTGTATTAAGAAAATCCATTGATTCTTATTTGAATTTAATCATACCTAAATGAGAAATCAAATTAGTTTCCTGTTTTAAGATACAATCAAAATCAGCAACTATGTGTATAATAATGCTATTGTTTCGTAGAAATAGCCCAAGGGAAAATAATCATACAATCTTGACATTTTTTAAAATGCACCGTTTAACACTATATCATTCATATACTCGTACATGTATATTTTAACATTGTCTAAAGAACGTAGACATTTATAATCTGCTCCTACATCATGCTTTATATTTAAAGTCTTAAACTTTTTTCCATAAATATAATTCTTTAAACTGCTTCTAAAGTTCAAATGTTTATAAAGATCTTTGGTCATATCTTTAAATAAATCTATGTTCCGGTATCGGTTCATATTTACCAATCCAGACTTCCTGTTCCGGTTCACCAAAACCATTTTTGTAGTCTTTCCAGTTCCTGTCAAAGCTGACGGATCCATCGATTCGTTTTTGGATTACCTAGGAAAAATTTGAGTACATTTATTAATCTAGTTTGCTTGCTGTTTAAATTAATAATGTTATTATAGCGATGGGTATGAGTTTTAGATTCGTCATGCACTTCAACAGATAGACAGAATATTCCGTAGTCTAATTTAGTATACAACAATCTAACAATGAATATGAAAGAAATAGGAAAAATACGACCCACTGATAGGTTTTATTTAAACAATGTCATTATAACGAGCCTAGAATTTTGCAAAATGCTGAAATCGACATTAAACCAAGTTTTCAAATCCCTGTAACATCATTTTATTGTCCGTATTCTGCCTCAACATTAAAAATCATATCTGATCCGATCATGCTCTTGTGTATCACATAGAAGGATACGGAGATACTGAACAGTATTCAATATCGAAGTCCATAAAACAATACAAAATAGGAGCAGAGCAAACATGGACCCCCATAACATCAGAGGTGGGATCAGCTGCCATGGAGGAGTGAACATTCCATGCTGACAGGTTACACCTGCTGTGTGCTCATTGTCATGTTCGTGAAATAAGGGAATACGTTTAGAAGATAAAAACACCATATGAAGGTGATAGCAGAATATTAATTAATGAATAAGAAAAAACGAAGATGGAAAACTATATCAATTTCCTGGACGAGACACAATATAAATATCACAATTTCATCCATATATATATATATATTTAAAAAAAAAGCGGATTTAAAACTTAAAATTTTATAAAACTTACCGTCCACCCACCGCCCATTATATCCATGTTACAATGAACTTTGACCGGAATGGACTTTATCCCGTATGGATAAATATCGTACACGTCCGATTTATCATAACCATTGTCATGAAGTCCTTACAATCTGAAGGGGGAGCTAAAGAACAAAAGTGAGAATTATATAGGACTAGGACCTTATAATATATAAAAGGGGAACTAAAGAACAATTGTTAGAATCATATTGGATTAAAACCTACATAATATAAAGGAAAAACTTAAATCAAAACTAGAATTACATAGGATTAGGACTTACATGTACACAATATAAAGGGAGAACCTAAATCAAATCTGAGAATCATATAGGATTAGGACTTATAGATTATAAAGGAAGAATAAAAGAACAGAAGTAAGAATTATATAGGATTAGGACTTTTATAATATAAAAGAAAAACTGAAATAAAAACTAAAGAATTGTATAGGACTAGGACTTCTAGAATCTAACGGGAGAACTAAAGATCAGGAGTGAGAATTATATAGGATTAAAACTTAAAGAGTATAAAGGAAGAACTCAATCCAAAACTAAGACTTTTAAAATATAAATGAAAAATTAAATCACAAATGAGAATAATTTACAATTCAGACTTAGACCATCTGAAGGTAGAACGCAAAACCAAACTGAGAATTTTATGAGATTATAACTTAAACAATAAATAAATAGATGAGTTATCTTCACAGGACAATGCTTGAGACGACTTTAAAGAATAAACAATCAAAATAACGTAAGATAAATCTTTTTAACCTGCTCCAATTGTAAGGAAGATTAAAAATTAAAATAAAAACCAATACATACAATCCGGATAGTAATATCGCCATCCGACTTCGTCCGACATTCCGGAAGTGAAGATCTTCTTATGGGTCCGGCACTTCTTCAACGTAGGATTGTACCCGAAGAAACCACAATCTCTCTGACAGGTGGCAGCACACTCACTTAAAGAATGGGCCTCGTGTTGTCCTACAAGTTCCTCGTTGGACATCTTGTTATCGAGTTCCAGTTTCGCGGTATATTTCCAGGAGGAGATGGTAGCACGAGAAACTGTAAAGAGAGAGGCCATTAAACAGACAAAACGAAGGCCGCTCATATTAAAGTCTCTATGTGTATTTAAAGAGTTTCTATAGGAGTTTACAATGAATTCGTCAACTGTCGAGTTTAAATAACAAATAATTTTCTATTCCCGTAAAACGATTGGCTTGTTATCACGTATTTATTATTTCTGAGTATCGATTTTCGAATTCCTGGAATTGAAGTATTTGTCGTTTTATTTAAATGTAACCAAAGAAATGAATTTTGTTTTTATTTCGTATGTTATATTTTCCATGTAAAGTCATTGGATTAATTTTAAAAGAAGTGGTCGAAATCCATAATCTTCTCTTTTTATCTTTATTTAGTTTGGGCAGATTTATATTAACGTTATTAAAGTATGGCAAGTTCTAATTATTTTTACTTTAATGGTTTTGACAATGTCTATTCTTTCAATTCCTGTATTAACGTCAGGCAAAAATTTTAACAATGTGTCATACAAGAAAAAAAAACAGTGACTAAATATTCTTATATGGTGCGCTACAGATTTTTCCATTGTAAAATGAACAGAATAAAATTATTCCTCTGCAATTGAGCTTGAATTAGCCTTCAGCATATCAAAAATATTGGACGAAAAGGAATGTACTCTCAATCTGAAACAATTCCTTCTCTGGAAGATTCTATGGATATAACATTGTTTCTTTCACAAAGAGGTAATATAGCTCATCCAAATAACCTGGTGCTAAATTTCTTATTCAAACTTTACCAAACTCGAATATACATTTTCTTTTTTTCCCAACAAAAATGACTTCTTATATATTTCAATTGAAATTTCCAGATATGACACAGATGTTTCATACTAGTAATTTGCGGTATCTTTTATCTTAAGATCACTAGGATATATCATATCGACATAAGAATGGAAATAAGCATTTTTCATTGCAAATACGTCGTAGATATAACTAATTGTCGAGTTGAAGGCTACAAAAAAGTTTTTTTCTTTTCCTTTATAGGATTCTGGACAAATTCTGTGTCTGCATCTCTTATTTAACAATTTTATCTGAAATTTACTTTGGGTCTCCCAGAGCAATGCATGGACGTTGCCAATACAATCATATGGGAGGCGGGGTATAATTAAGTGAGCTCAGCGCTCGGAGTGCCTCTAGTTTTTCCTTGTTTCAGTCATAATCTAATCTTTACCAATGCAGTCTAATTTGTCACAATGATTAACGGACTTTAAAAATTGTCATTTTGAGCTTACGAATTGACATCAATGTTTAGATGAAATATAGGCAACCAATCTACCAATAGTGACAATCCATTGAAAAATTACATTATCTATAGGAAGGAACCCTTTTGTTGTAATCACAAATATCGTCATTATATTCAACCCTTTAAATACATGTACATGTTTAATATTCATCATAAAACTTTGCAATGAAAGCCACACAGGGAAGATAAAATGTAATATTTTAGCCTCATTTTTTCCAGTATCGTTCTATCCACGGGGTGTTTACTATAAATGATGTCCACTAGTGTATTCGGGTACGTATAATAAATTAACGTTCTTTGTTTTAAAAAGGCTTAGTGCTCTATACTTCCTTATACTAATGCAATGATAATCTTCCAATGAGGAAAGTCAGTTTTCCTGTACAGCCTTTACATAGATTCGTGTATGAATCTATGTAACAAAGATGAACATGATAAAACAATTTAAGTGATATTAGAAACATTTGAACACATCACATTAAAAATTAAAAAAAAACGGTTTTTGGCGTATTTCTATCTTTACAAATGAAAACTAGAGGTACTGCTTGCAATGAGGTCATTTAATGATACCCCCACCTCCACTATGGTTATAGTACGAAAATCAGTGTTTTGCTGTGGCCGGGAAACCCAAAATATGTGTCTGATCAAAAAGTAGAATAGGAGTTGCACTATGTCACTATGTAATAAAGATTCTGCTTAATTTTCATTAAATTTCACTCTGTGGTATTAGAGAAGTTGCGTATAATTGATGGGTATTCCGAAGCGTAACAGACAGTCGGAATGACAGACGGACGTACGGACAGCTAGACATACACACATACGGACGGAGGTCATACCGATTTCTATATAGCCTCCCGCTTTTCAAGCGAAAGTATAATAAAATGTAATGGGGAAAATAGCAACGAAGAAACCCAGCAAACAAATGCGAGGAAATATGTATTAATATATGTCTCATTTTAAAGATGGGAGTAGATACAGCTAGACGCATTCTTATATAGAACAATGTTTTTCTCACAAATTAGCGTAAAATATTTACAATGCAAATTTGTGTAAGGACGCAGCAAAAATATTTAAAAGCAAATTACTACTTTATTTTCATTTAACGTAAAACAGAATACACAAATCTTAATTCCTAGTATGTCATTATCTCTTGGAAGATAAATTGTTCACATCTGAATTCCTAGGATGTTATATGTTCTTGACTGATAGATTATGACAGTTTCCAATGGTTTGATGTGATTTGAACTGATTTCTCATCCAATGCAGAAGTCTATGTATCCTTTCTTTTGAAACCTGTCCTTTATCCTTCTTCGCTAGCCAAGGGTTTCTGATACGCTACTCTCCTCAGAAGCCCTTGTACTTTATCTTACTAGTACATAGATAAAGAAACATTGCAGCTCATGTGCTGTTTATTGATTGATTGATTGTTTAATGTTTTATGTACCTTTCGAGAATTTGTCACTCATATTGAGACGCCACTGCTTGCCAGTGGAAAGCTACAAATTTTGTCCTATGTTCGGCATTTAAGGCATTGAGCAGTGAAGTGTCTTTGTTGTGCCAGAACCCTCTGTGGCACTGAACTTCGGTTTATACGGTCTCATCTGAAGGACCATAGTGGGATTCAAACCCAAGACGTAAGGATCGATTCTAGAGCAGACGCTCTAACCACTGCACCATTTTCTGTACCTTAACATGACCCTAAAATGGAAAGATGATATAAATATTTTTCATGTACACATGTCTGACAGCTTTCCGTGTTTATTTTCATAAAATTTTTGTTCTGAAACTGTTCTTTATACAAATAATTCCCACCCCATATCTCAAAGTGTCAAATCGTAAATATAATGGAATTTTCTCTTCAAATGTATCAATTTACTATTACAAAGGATAAACAATACTTTATTGTTCAATGTTTCGGCATGATTTCTCTTTGCAGCTTGGTTTTTGTTTTAGTTTTCGATGCTATATTTCAACAAAATTTAGATGACTGCGATTAATGGAAATACAAAGTACTTAGCAAAAATTCTTCTCTAAGTAGTCAATATAAAAATATCAACTAAAAAGTATCAAAGAAAAGTCGGTCAGATACATAAACATATGGTTGAATCAGATGAAACATCACACCATTTATTGACAAAGTCGCTTTTAACAAATAAAAATCAAACAACGTAAGAAATTTAAAAACTTATGTCATGTATTAAATTTACTATCACAGTAAATTACAGTAATAACCTTAAAAGACAAGAAGCCCATGGGCTTCAACGCTCACCTGGGTAACTTTGGTCATAATGTGCTTCACAAGATTCTCTCCTTTGGAATATTTTGAATAATCAATAACCCCCCCCCCCCTCCCCCAGATGCTTACATATAATCTCGATTTTGGCTTTCCTCGCCCAATGGTTCTTGAAAAGATTTTATAACATTCGTCATATATATTTCAATGTAAAAATTGGATATTGTTACCCAGCCTTTCCCCCGTGAGGCATAGTTTGAATAATTTAGAATCTAGACTTACCCCAAGATGCTTTTACATAAGTTTCAGCTTTCCTTACCCAGTGGTACTGAAAAGATTTTTTAAAGATTTCCCTAAACATATCAATGTATAACAAGAAGAAGGTACAGTTTCAATACAAAGTAAGCCCGATATTTTTCTAAAATATGAAAGTGATATAAGAAAACAAAATTCATTCTTTCTTAATCAAAGAAATCCCCTGCAGCAAGAATATACAAATCGTTTTTCTCATATGACCTCCTTATCACTAATTGTGACGTCATTAACT